TTGAGAAACGACACATGTCACATTTTTGGCCATTTTGTTTTTATACCAAAAATACAATATTTAAAGGTAAACACATCTATCCACGCAGTAATATTACTTGCCCGATATACATTCATATGACTTCTGCATCACTTAATATCTGATTGCATTTAGAAACAACACAAGTCACTGACATGTGCTCTTTATAAACGCAGTGTAAATTATTTAAAACCATGGCATCAACTGCCGAAAGTGATTGTGATAGTATTCCGTTAATTTAAATAAATAAAAAAGGAAACGGAAAGTTATAAAAATGCGAAATAATAAAAAATGCTAGAATGATTGGTGAAGAATTACAAAGGTGTTATAGTTTCCGCGAAAAAACAGGGTGAAAACAGGCTAGTTATGTTAGTAGTGTAAGTTAAAGTGTTATAACCGATGTTCTAAGGGGACAGAGAAGAGATTCTTTAAAGATTTTGACTCCTGATAACCAAAAATGAGTAGGATGTCTATTTACAAGCATTCATGGCTTGCAATAACGTCAAAGTTAAGAGGACAAGAAATTCTGAATGATCTAAACTAAAATCTCACTTGTTTAAATACCTTTTAACATCCTATTCTGGATGAATTGATTTGCCTCACGGCTTTTATCAATATTCACTCAATTACAATAGCAAGAGTTCGACGTTTAACTAAGTTAATCGTCAAAGACAAACAACCTTACGACAAAAGGGGCAAGTGTATTTCTGGAAATACAACTAGGAAATATAGTTGGTCAGATTGAGGACCATTTTAGGAGCTTTCCTACAAAAATTACTATAGTAGCACAGAAAAATATCTCAATGAAACAATTGACGTGAAAATTATGTACGATTTATTTAATACAAAGTATCCGAGTACCAAAATAACAAGTTCTACTTGAAATTTTTTTAAGAAAGACGTTCCCAATATGCACCATGACTTTTATACCGAAATATTAAATTGACTGGTAACTGAAAATGAAAACGATGAAAACAATGAATATTTTTTTATTTTGTAATCTTCTTTGATGAATTTTAAAATATATAATAATAAAACTATATCCCGTTTTACTAAGTTTTTATGTTCATTTCAGAAACATCACATGTCACTCATTTTTAATTAACCATGATTTGTTACTTAATTTTTTTCCTCAAATAATTATTGTTATATACCCGAAATAGGAGCAAGTTTTAAATGTTAAGTATACAAAACTATTTTTTTAACCACGTTTTGAGATTTTAACTTTTTCTTATTTTTTGAAAAATGATCTGCAACTGACATGTGCTATTTCTCAAATGACCGATTCATTTGTAGTTAAAATGAAAATTTTAATACATCTGATCGGCCTAATAAAAGTTTCCGTTTAGATTTAATCATGTTTCCATAGTTTTTACTGTAATAAACCTTTTTCTTTTGACAGAGAAGTCGGACTTTATTCATAGCCGTATCGTATCTATTTTAATTGATTCGGAATTTTTAATTAGTTAATATTATAATTTTACAGTTATATAAGAATGGCGAGTGAATTAGAAAATATTGCAAACACAAGCAGGCGTAAACGACCTAATGGACATAAAGTATTATCTCTAGAAGAAAAAAATATGGTACCTACTTAATGTATTTAATAATCTTCAAAAAGACTTTATTTCACTTTCTGTGAATGAAATAACCACTAAATGTGAAACCTAGACTGTAGTATCTATCTAAACGGACAAAGTATAACATTATTAAAGAAGATACAGTTATAGAAGTCTCGCATCCGAAAGAGTCCCCAAAAAGAAAGAAATCTTTATTGAAAGTTGGGTAAAGAATGTAATAAGATAAATGGTACATTCTTTTTTCTTTCGAAATAACTTAAATTTTCATTACAAAATATGTGGCAGAAGTAGCTTTTTCACAGCGAAAGACGAAATCATTGCATGGAGACATGTTTAAGGAAAATAGCGGACGCAAGGAATTAGCATAAACAGGTATTTTATTTAGATGAAACATGGGTTAATGCTGGACATACAGTAACAAAAATTGCAAGATACCTCCTCAAAACTAAAAAAACAAGCCTTTATGAAAGGGGTCTCTTGTGGATTAAAAAATACAACAGGAAAAGGAAATAATAACCCACAATGGAAGCACCGATGGATTTTTTCCTGGTGGTTTATTAATTTTCGAGTAAAAAAAAAAGACTACCATGAAGAAATGGATGGCCCTATGTTTGGAAATTGGTTTAAATTCCGTTATTGTTTTGGATAATGCATCATATCAGTCAATTAGAAGATAAAGTTTTTACTGAAAATCAGTCAATTGCAAACGCTTTTGCTGAATATTTTTGTTCAGTTTACAATTTTGATCAAAATGACACTGATAATTTTAAATCTGTTGATAATGATTTTATTGATGTTAATATTATTATATCTATATGTGTTAGGATGTTTGAATTCACTTGATATTGGGAAGAGTCCCGGGCCAGATTAGATTACAAATCGGTTTTTAAAGCAGTGTGCCTTTGCTATGGCAAGACCTTTATGGCGTTTGTTCAAGAAATCGCTGACGGAAGGTATTTTTCCCATCAAGTAGAAAAAATCATTTGTTAAAGTCTGGAAATCCTTCGCTTATTACTAATTACAGATCAATTACCAGTTTATCGTCAATTTCTAAAATTTTCGATAGTATTCTTAATGACCAACTAAGTAGAAAGCTTTCAAATATGATTAGTAGCAAACAACATGGCTTTCACGTTGGCAGATCATCTACGACCAATTTGATGCTCTTTACTGAGTATGTTGCTACTTCTGTAGAAGATGGTCATCAAGTGGATACAATTTATATGGATTTGACCAAGGCTTTTGATCGGGTAAATTGTATGCTCTAGGAATTTATAGACAGGCTTTGAATTAGCTAATTTCTTATTTTACACACCGTGTTTGTTGTGTAAAAATTCAAAATGCCATTTCTAGTGAATATGCAGCGATTTCAGGGGTCCCTCAGGGATCACACTTGGGTCCATTGTTATTTAGTATTTACATTAATGATTTAGTGAAACATTTAAATGATACTGAAGTTTTAATGTATGTTGATATCAAATTGTATAATATCATTAATAACTCATCTGATTGTCTTGTAGTACAGAACAATTTAGACAGTTTAAACGAATACTGCTTTTTGCATGGATTAATAATTAATCCCCTAAAATGTAGCGTAATGTCTTTTTATAAGGGGCTTAACATAAACTTAATCATACTTTTGAGTTGCATGGAAATCGTATTAATAAAGTTGATAGTATAAAATATCTTGGAGTTATATTTCAATCTGATCTATCTTTTTTATTCACTCATAAGGTGACATTTGGAATATTGTTGTTATTTGGTCACATGCACAAATTCATATTGAAAAGTTTGAAAGAGTGCAACGTAGATTTTTAATGTATTGTTAGGAAAATTGTCACTACCGTACTCTTATACAAATATGGCCTTGTTGACTCCGGAATTCTTGCAGAGGGTAGATTTGTATATACCAGCTAAGCTGTTGCGAAACAGCTGCATATTTGCTTTGAAAGCTCATAAAACTAACTATGACTCAGAAATTGGTATGATCAGACTTCTGAGAAATGCTAATACATTTGCTAAAAAACATCCATATTTTAACTCTTCCCTGAATCAAGTGAAAAGAGCTGTGAAGTAAAAAAAATGTGTTAGGTTTACATAATATATTTTTTTTATTATAAACATGTAATTTTGTAAATGGTTTAAACCGTATGATAAATATATAAATTAAAGGAATTACTACTTAGAACTTACAACAAGATGGAAAAAAGAAGATTTCAAAATGGCTTCATTCTACAAATATTATCAATCCTCCTAAATCCTTGAAGGCAGAATCGTAATAGCAAGGCAAAATAAAAACAAATTCAAAAAATATATTATAGATGAAATGGCCCAAGAAAAAAGAATTGAAATTCTGATTGTCTCCTTACCATGCAGAGTTAAATCCCATTGAACTGATCTGGTCACAATTAAAAGGCTATATTCCTTCAGATGTAAATGGAGAACATTGGAGAAAATGCATTGATCATGTTAAAAAGGTGGAAAATACATTTTGGAAAGTGGATATGGCAATGGAAACCTTAATAGACCCTATAATAATAAACCTCAGAAAAGACAATGATAACAGTAGTTATAGTGAAGACAATGACTTTTAAAGATAGTTCTTCAACTTTATTTTTTTAATCTTTAATGATTTTAGGTACCGAAGTGTTATTTATTGGTTAAATTTAATTTGTTCAATGTTAAAGTACAACAATTTTGTCAGAAGCATGTTTATTTTTTTTGTAAATAATATAACTTTTTAAGCTATTGCATAGCTTTTATCGCGGGCTTTGAGCGCGGAGACCGAATCAAGAAATTCCGTAACACTGTAACGAAAAAAAAAAAAAAACTTAACACCCCCCACTCCGACCGGCACAGCGGTGCGGCGTTAAACAATATTAACTTCTCATTTATTCAATAAAAGAAAATCGAAAAGTCTAAAAATCCAAAATCGAAAAAGAAATTCCGTAACGAAAATAAACCTAGCACACCCCACTCCGACTGGCACAGCGGTGCAGCGTTGAAAGCCGTGCATCGTCTAACGTCGTTTCAGTTCGGCAGAATTCGGCACGGTGTTTGTGTGTGTGCGACTAGATGTATGCGTGTAGACTAGCTGCTAACTGCTCACAACTGATTCTATCTCTTTTAGACACAATTTCGGAAAAATTGAATTTGAAAATGAATAATGATCCACAAGAATCCACGACAAAATATGGGACCACCATTGACGCGGTATTTTCCAGATATTTAGAGGATATCAAGTCTCAAACTTATGTTTCTTATTTCAGTTACCATAAACCTATAGTTTCAATGATTAAAATTCCTGAATAACCTACATGTATGGTTAAATAATAAAAATATTTTAAACAATATTGACTTCTCATTTATTCAATAAAAGAAAAAAAAATTTCTTATCGGTCATCACGCTCAAAAAGTATAACTTGAAATAATATCAAAAAAAAAAAACTTAAATTAATATCAAAGAAAAAAAAATTCTGCATAAACAAAATAAATAAATAATTATAATTGCATAAGTTGATAAAAACAAACTATGCAATAGCTTTACCGCGGCAGTCCCCGAGTGCCACACGTATTTTTATTTAAAATTGAATGAGTATGTACCATTTTACATGCCGCGACCTTATTTATATTATAGAAAATTATTTTGCAAAGTAAGCCTATGGGATGTGACGTTATGTCCCCACTTTTACTGCACTCCTCTTTTGTTCAGACTATAGTAAGTTTTTAAACTTTCTTTGTTAAAAGTACATACTTTCAACTTTCATTTACTTCTTAACCTCCTAATAACATAATGTTGTAGTTGACAGGTCTAGAAATGCTCATGTTCACACCACTCTGCACTTACATCTAGAATTTGAATTTGCACAAGCCACGTTGTCAAATCTCCACTTTTATTTTAGCTTGCTTTATTTCATAGTTTATTTTTTAACCAAATTGTAACCTCTATACATTAAAATGTATGATAAATAAATATAAAGATTTATATTTTAAAATAACAATTCTGTTTTGTTTTATAAGACAGTTTTGATAGATTTTAAATTTTGTAATTATCACTATTGAAAGGTATTATTGACATTAAAAATAACGATCGTATTACTTGAAAATCTTTAGAACATTTTTTACTTTTATGGGATTTTTAATCGATGTAAAAATTGGTAAATAGATGATTAAAAGTAAAATAGTTATTTCAATCTACTTATTCCCTGCTTCCAAATAATTAAATATAACCTGGCAACTATGTAACGATTCCAACTGACAAAACTACCTAGAACAGAAATGGTGTGCACAGGGAGCATTTCCAGACCCTTCAACTGCAACATTACCCATGTTCGGAATGAAAATATGAAAAAAGGATAAAAGAAAACAATTTTCTATTTATTCATATATTCAGTAGCTTTTCTCTTAACGGACTTAACCAAAGTACTTAACTCAGCATTCCTCTTCTTATCAGTTTTAACTTTCTTAACTTTGATACTTTCATTTCCATTTTCCAATCGCCTTTTCAATTTTTCACTGACCAAAGTCTCCATACCCTTTGTTTTCTTGAAATTTGGATCAGTGGGATCAATGTTATAAAGATGACTGGTGAACAAAGCAGAAAATCTATCATCATTTATGTTAACCTTGAAATTATCTTCTGCCCATTCTTCTGTATCTTTCTTCTTATTCTTCCATTTCTTTTTCTTTGTCGATTCGCTTTCCTGTATCTTTTTTAAAGAAAAGTGTTTCTTATTCTCGTCATCATCATTGTTCATCAGTAGTAATTCTAATTCTTTTTGTTTTTGTTCATCATCATCTTCTTCGAGTTTATCTGTCTGTTTTTTAGGTTTCTTGAATTCTGGATTGTTAAGTTCTTCAGCAAAGTAGGGATCATTGATGTCAATGTCAGAAGGCATGTCTGAATCATCATCTTGTTCCTTCTTTTGCTTTTTCTTTTCCTTGCGTTTTTCTTTCTTTTTTTCCAAATACTGCTCAAATGGCGTCATATCTTGATTGCTTTTATCTTTAACCAATTTTTCTGTCTTATTCTTCAAGTTTATGCCCCAAGATATCTCCATTTCCACATCTTTATCTTTCTCCGATTTTTCTTTACTTTCTATATCTTGTAACAATGCTTTGTATTTATTAATCATATCCTCTTTGCTTCCTCTTTCTTCTTCGAAATCTTCTAGTTCTTCCGTTTCTTTTTCACTGTCCTCTTCACTGCTGCTTGCTAAATAGTTTTGCAAATCTTCCTTGGTTAACTCATCTATTTTACCAGTACTTAATTTTTGGGTTACCTCTATGCGATTGGGATCAGTTTCATCCCATGTTAGGTCTACTTTAGCTTGCTGCAATGCTGTGTTGGTGAAAAACCTTGGCTGATATTTGTTGACCTCCGGTAACTTATCACAAATTTCTTTTGGTTCATCATCAAATTCCATACTGTCTGGTACAAACCTCAAATCTAATTTGATAGCACTTGATTCATACTCCATTCCATCACATTCTGTGTAAATTTTGTTAGCAGAATTGACATTATCAAACGATATAATGGCGTAATAATATTTGAGCCTATTCAGCTGATACTGTCTTAGTTTTTCCATGTGATAATTGGAACCTTCTTCATTATCATCTTCATCTTTCAATTCTTCAGTATTAGGGTCAACTAGTTCAGTAGGGCCTTTAATTTCTTCCTCTTTTATTCTCTGTTTACCGAATTCTGAAGGATAAATAGCAACGGATTTGATTATGCCTCCAGGTGGTAGAAACGAATTAAACAGCACCATTAAGTCTAGTGCTCTAATTCTATCCCAATCCATGTTACAAGCAGCCAATCTATGTGTTGCTTCTTCAGTTTGTTCAGCTTCGGCATCCAATTCACCCCATTTGTGGTCTATATCCTCACTTTCTGATATTTCCTCTTCAGACTCTTCATCGTCTGATGAACTTTCAGATAATAATTTCGACTCGCCTCTAGCATAATCAACTGATAAGTCTTTTAATTTTTTCTTCACATTTACTGGCAAAGCTTTATCAGATATGTCCTTCTCTTCTAATTCATTAATTTTTGCAGACTTTTTGATGTTCTTACCAATTTCTTCAGACTTCTTGACCTGCTTTCTAATTTCTTCAGACTTCTTGACATGCTTTCCAATATCTTCAGATTCTTCATTTTCGGACTCACTGTCTGAACTATTCGACTCAGAACTGAGTTCATAGTAACGTTTTAAATCTTCGTTCGAAGTATGGTTTACAGGTCTACCTCTTTTATCTGTGGTATACTTTACTTTAAACTTTTTATCATTAAACATAGATTGAAATCGTTTGTCTATTTTTACTTTCCTTTCTTTCTTGGAAATGCGACGGAATTTTGGATCCGTTTTAATGTGTGAAAAACGATTATCTTCCATTTTTTGTAGTTTTAAACTTCAATTAAAACAAAATTAATGAATTATTTTGACGTTTTCAAATTTAAATTTTAACCTCACTTTTACAGCATGGACTTCGCTGTCATCTGTCAACAGTTGCAACGATGAAAAAAATTGAGTTTGGCAATTCTAGTTCTAATCAGGGCCACGGTTCGTAGATAAAACGGTGGCCTCATCACGGTTGCTAAGGACCACTGAACTCTATACCATGGAGGAAGGATAATTACCTTATGGTCAATTCCACCGTTGTTATCTGGGGGTCGATTCTCGACTTTTATTCCCATGGGAAAATAAAATTTTCCCATGGGAATTCAGTTTTCGTATTCTCGGCATAAGCGGTGGAATATTTTCCAATGAGAAGTATGGGAAAATATTCCCCTGCTTGCGAGCATTGGAAATTGTGTTTTCCAATGGGAATTGTACTAGAGTTTGCGCATTAAAGTCGAAAATTTGACGAAAGACCACGCGAAAGACTAAGACATAACCAAAGATTATTGGATATCTTGGATTTTTGGTGAAATTGTAGTTAAAACATGTTTTTTGTGTATTTATAAATTGATATTATTTTATTTATGTGGGTATATTATTTTTACCTCTCTTTCACTAAGAAACTGATTTTCTTAAATTAGTTAGAAATTGTGGGAGCTGCTAAGGGACTGGCAAATAGATAACACAAATTGAGAAATTTGTAGTAAATTTAATAAGACCTTTTCGAAAATTTTATTATTTCCGTTAACGAAAGAATTTCTTATATATATAGTTTCTCGAAACTTTCGTTGCTCTTCTATACAAAAGCTACTTTTTCTTTTTTCAATATGTGAAAAGAAAAACTAAAAATAACTCGATAAGTTTTAATTATACATAATCGAATATTTTCACTTGTCCTCGGTCAAGCTAGCGATTGCTCGGCACGGCATCTGACGGCATCTGCTCCAGCGCAGAGGCTCGGCAGGTAATCGGTTACCCAAAAACCACAACAAATACAAATAATACCAACAGTAAATTTTAAAATATCTTTAATGTTATTGGTTATTTCGAAATATTCGTGAACTTAATATCAGACATACGTGAAACTATTATTTCCATGGGAATGTCTATTCCGACAAGTTCGAGAATTGCATAACCTATTACCATGGGAATATAAGTAGTGGAATCTTTTCCCATGGGAAAATTTTCCAATGAACTCGAGAATCGAGCCCCTGGGGTGCTATTTTCAAAGTCGAGAGAATTCATTTCTCTCGAGAGAAATGTCATACGTCAACGTAAAACAGTATTTTTAGGGTCCTAAGGGCCAGTGTAAACTCACTGATTGTTTCTCACGGTTTATTTAGAGATAATTAATATCCTCCTAAGAATTTTAATCCTCGAGGCCTTTAAAAACAGCGTTTCCACATTGACGTATGACATTTCTGATGAGAATCTTGAGAGAAATGAGTACTCACACGGTTTGAAAATAGGTCCCCTGGTATTTGGCATGGGAAATCAAATTTCCAATGGGAATCTGTCACCGGTGACATTTGCTAGTTACTTCAAATAATAATATTTATATATTATTATTACTAATATACCTTTCCTAAAATGGATGAAGCTATTTTACTTTCCCAATTAAACAATATACAAGATGCAGAAAGAAGAGCAATTAATGTCCCAAGAGATTTTTGGTCAAGTGGAAAAATGAGGCAGGGGATCCCTTTGAATCCTTAAATGATAGACAATTTCTCAAATATGATCAACGCAAGTTTTCTAGAATAAGCAATCCCAGAATAAATTTTGTTTCATTATTAGGAATAGGCTATTTCAGAATAAATTTTGTTTTATTACGCAAAATAAATAGCAACTATTAATAACATAATGAGATGTTAAAAAACTTGAAGCTAAAATAATGAACACTCTTAAAAATCCTTAAAATTCCTTTGTTTCTGCTATTTTTTCCAAGGCACAAGTTATTCGTTCTTTTGCCAAAACATTTCTCTCTAATAACTTGAATTTTTTGTCATAATAATTTTCTTTATTAAAGTTTTTATTTTGTAACATGCGTTCAATATTTCGGCTAGTATTCAAGGTTTTAGTTAACCTTGTAGCAGCTACTCTTCGTTTTGGATTTATTGTGCCTCTTGTACTAGGTTCAGCACATGATATATTTTCACGTTATTTTCTAAAAAAAGAGGTTGATTGTTTTCTGTGACAAGATGGCAAGTGGCAAAACAAGAGTCAAAAGTTGACGATATAATCAATGATCCCAACATTACTACTTGAAAGTATTGAAATATAATATTGATTATGATTGGTCAGTTTCCAATATTTACGTACTTAATACCCGACATACGTTAGACATACGAATAATCGAAATTCCCTCCGAGCAATTACTACTAGAGGGAGTCTTCCCCCCTTCCCCGCGCTAAATTTTGTTAGCAACATCTACTCCCCCCGAGGGGGAAAATACCTCTTCTGTAATTGGCTTATTTAATCAGCGTTGCCAAGTTTGACAGCGCCAGTTCTGAGTGTTCTGACCACATACTTTGATTTTCTGACACTTGTCAATTTCTTATTTGTATTTTACGGAAAATATTATTTATGACGTTGTAAGGGTTGTAAATGTATATTTAAGATTTATTATCTCTAATAATATGGTGAAAACATGCTTTATGTGTAACAGGCCTGTTGAAAATGCTTCTTCAAGATAATATCATAAGTAAGTACAGACACAACCTAATTATCAGAGGCGGTGCATTAGGCAATCACCTTTAATTTGCAATTAAACTTTCTTATTTTTTTATCGAAAAATTAAAATTAAGAGCAAGTAAACTCCAGCTAAGTTCGTCTTTGATCCGTCTCATAATGATTATAGTAAAGGTTAATTACTTATTATTATTTTAATACCAAATCTTTGTAAAGTTTATTGTTATTTTTTTAGGTTTACTTTTCTTGATGTGAGAAAGACATACATGGTTCCAAAATATAGGAATTCAACAAATGACCACCTAAATAACTTTTTATGCTAATGAACATTTTTATTACAGACCTCAGGGGAAGAAAATATTAAAGAAAAATGCAATTTCGGCGAAAGAAGTATAATAATCAATCCTGTCACTACTTCTACACTATATTCATCTGCTACTAAAATACTAAAACAGCAAGTAAGTAGAGAAACTTAAGTTTCTTTCAAAAAGAATGTTTAAGGAAAAAGGCATTGCCATTTTTTTGTTGACACTTTTTTAACTAATCTAAAAGTCAAAGCCAAAGTCGTAAATGACCGCAACCTATTATAATAAATATTATTGTATTACAGGCCTGAAGATGTCCCTGCAAGGCCGAAACTAGTCGCTTCTGTATTTATTTATAATAAGATTAATTTTAAGATTTTATTCTTTAATTGAAAAAATTAGACCTTTACAGTTGTTTTGTTTCATTTCCTGCATCAGACACATATAAGACGGTATTCATTTTAAAAATAGTAAAATTAACAAATTTTTTAGTTTTTTTTACAATTAAAATGTTTGGACAATGTCAGTTTTTATAGATAAATGATACGCCACTGAACAAGAAGGATGTTTACCTTCCCCCTTGTGCCCGCTTCCTCACTTCCTCTACAGATGTTGCTAACACAACAATCGCCTACAAACTCGTTTCATGCTCTATCTAGTAGTAATTCCTCGGAGGAAATTCCCATAGGAAAAAGGTTCCTAAACTAGTCGAGAATACCATTTTATAATACCACTGGAATATAAGCATGGGAATATTTATCCATGGGAAATTTTTCCGGTGAAGTCGAGAATTGAGGCCCTGGAGTGGATGTTATTTTGGAACTTTCAACTGGTCCTAGTGAGCTAACTGATTCTTTAGCAATAAACTGTGACATCAAAAATAATATTCATTGACACTGACAGCAGCAAGCAAAATATCAGGTGCGTTTTAATCATCCGCTTCTGCTTCCGGAATTGTCGGTTTAGTCGTTTTAACCTGTCAGATTAAAACAAGAAAACCGACAATTCCGAAGCAGAAGCGGATGATTAAAACGCACCTATTAAAAATATTGCGCCAAGATTTAGGCAACACGTAATAAGGGTTCAAAATGGCGGAGTTTTCTATCTCCTTTTAAAAGGCACTCAGAAAGCTGCGCAGTGCGACCATTCTCCGTATAGTAAAAGAAAATCAAAGTATGTGGTATAAACGCTTGTTTCGAAAAAACAAAAGAAATATATTTCTAAAATAATATTTAAAAGTAACATAAATTACTAAAATCGATTTAAACATAAATAAATTAAAAATATAACATAATGTAGGTGCTATAAATTATATTAGCATTTTTAATTTTTTATTATAATATAAAAAACTCAAAAATTTAAAATCTAAATTCTTAAAAACTTAAAAACCTGCACAATCATTTTTTTTGGGATAATGTTTAATTTTCAAAATATCCATGGATCATACTGCGAGAGTTAGCTAAAATAAATTGTTTTAGTCTTTTTTTAAAAGTGTACAAGTTTGATTCAGTTTGAATGCTCTTAGGAATTATATTGTACAGTTTGGTGCGAAATAGGAAAATGATCTCTGTGAAACCACTTTGAACATTAATGGAGCTAAATAACGACATTTTTGTCTAGTATTATATTCATGATATACTAGACCTTGAGGTTTACGAACATGATATTTGTTGCTACAGCAAAAAAAATACAATTGTCTTATATCCATGATGTTTGTTTCTGTATACAAGGTTTCTGTAGGATATCTAGATTTTTTTGAATAAATTAACTTTAGAAATCGCCTTTGTGTGACTTCTAAAGAGTGAAGGTGTGTTTTCAAAGCTGCACCCCGCACAGTGATTGCATACCGAAGATGGATTTCAACTAGAGCACAATTAATAAAGGGTTTTAAGATGGTATAATGGTAAAATATCTTTTAAAAATTTGAATTTGTACAAAATACTGCGTAGTTTATTTACCGTGTAGGATATGTGTATGTTCCATTTTAAATAAGGGTCTTATTACTCCAAGGTTTTTATTTTTATATGAAATGAAGAAAGAGTCTCCGCCATCAGTAATTTTTGGGTGATCAAACGGTGGTGCACCA